CCTAACTACAGCAAATGTAAAAAAAAAAATTGATTTAGCAGATAGATCTTAAAATATTAAGATACCTAAAAGCATTTGAAGACAGAAGTCCTAAAACTGAATTCTACCACTACCTCATGCTATACATATAGTGTTAGAATAGTGTTAGACAAGAAACTTTGACCTCTGAATTCTTAATTTATAAAATATGAATAAACATTTAATGTGTATACTTCATAGGACTTCTATAAGGACCTAATGTGAAAGATTATCAGAATCCTAACATATTTTAGTTTTATAGAGTTCACCTCTCCCCCCCAAAAAAAATACCAAATTACAACTATAYAAGTACAAAAGTCTGTTTTACTATCAAAGAGATGGTTGTAAGAGAAAAGCAGCTATAATTTTTTGTATTGATCTCTCAACTCTTCCTAAGATTAGTTGATGAAGCAGATCAAAAGATCTTAACAGCATAAATAAAAAATTTAAATAAATGCTGAAATTGAAAACAGAAAATATTGGGAGAAATAGTTTAGATAAAATACATAAAACATAAAGCAATAAAGTAAGTTATATTTGAGTTTCTAATCAACAGGTTATAAAAGAATTAAAATTTTAGTGTTCAACTATGTAAAAATCTGTATGCTCAGTTGCACAATAACATTTACTACAAATATTGAAAAGCAAAAATCACACTAAAWAAAAAGAAAAACACAGAAGATGTTCACTTCCTTTTTTTAAAATGAACCCTCAATTTTCAACTATAAACTGTTAAGTAATTTCTTTGAAAACATGTAACATAATAAACCATTCAATTTGCTTTTTTCCCACAGATTTTACATTTATTTTTTGAAAGAATCATGTTAATAACCTTGACACAAAGAATATTAAAACTTTAAAAATATTCAAACTCAAAAATGACAATTATTGCTACATCAAATATTTTATTTCATAGAATTTTTTAAAATGGTTAATTGATGTAGGATTTCATGAAAATTTCATAGCATTGAGAATATTCTATTAACTGAAAGAGCTGATTCCTAATCCTATGGATGAACAGTAKTTTACAGAATACTTGGACAAAATTTCTTCCTTGTTATGATCATATACTTGCTCAGGCCAAAAGACATATTTGTATAATAAGTAATAATGCAGATCTTGGAGTCAGAAACATCTGGATTCTTATTGCTCAAAAGATCCTCTTTTGTAGCAGGCACATCAGCATCACCTGGGAGCTTTTTAGAAATGTATCTCTGGTTCAGTCTGTTGAATAAAAATCTGCATTTTAACAGGAGCCACAGGTGATCGGCATGCCCATTAAAGTTTGTGAAGTGCTGTCATACATTACTTATTAGACACATTTCCTTGGGCACATTTCAGGAACCCTCAAAGGCCCTATTTACTCATCAAAAAATGAGGCTGATAATAGTTATCTAGACTATAATAYTAGTGTGAAAAGTAATTAGATAATGTTTCTTAGTAATAAACACTTAGTAAAATCAAATTAATATTAAAATTCTAGTATCTAGCTTGGATTTGTATATTCATGATTTTTCACTATATTTAATATATAAAATTACACAGGTACAACAACATCAAGATAAATTAAAGCTCCTTGAATCCAGGTGTCTTCCTGAATATAAGCCTACAGAAAAAATAAAACTAAATTAATAATGCCATCTTGCATTCATTTGCAATATAATGTAGCACCTGTTTTACAATTGGCCTCAAAATGTTTCCCTACTAAATAATGTGTTTTCTATTTTTGTGGAATCAAAGAAGTTAAATAAAGAATTCAGTTTGAAAACAAACATGACTCTTTCTCCCAGACATAAAACTTAACAAATTCTAACCTTTATACCTTCTGTATTCTGCCATAATGAACTTAGGATAGTCACTGATCCCCCACAGATTTCAAATAATGCATATGTCTTGAGCTTCAACTACAAATGACAAGAAGAAGTCACAAAAGGTTCCCACTATAATCCAATTGTGACAAAATACCTGCTATTTACAACCTTTTCCAAGAGATTATGATGTCCAGATTACCTGCTTCCTGTGTCTAGAGAAAAAAATAATTTAAGTTGATAAAAAGTAATATACATAGAAATATTTTCAGCTATCACCAGGATCACCGAAATATAAAGCACCTTATTTTTATTAAGTAATTTTTATTGCAAACATACATATCTCTAAGAGTTTTAAAATAATATTCATATTCCTAAAATTGAAGATAATAATGCTTTTAATTGTCTAGTTATGAAATTTTATCTTACTCAATTATGTATTTTTTAAATACAATGTTTCAAATTTTTGCAATACAACATGCCAAATATACCAACAGAGAGTGCTGCTACATTACAAAACCCTGGACACTTTAACAATCATTATAAAATAATCATAATTGCCTAAAACAGCAAGGAAATTTTTGAGGGCCAACATATGTATAAAATGTAACAAGCTAAAACTCTGAACTGTGAGTGAAAAGCAAACAGGAAATAAAGGGTAGTCTTGGAAGAAAGATCTGTCACAGTGCTGAGGTCTAAAGAATAACTCCAGGATTGTAGCTAACAAAACATTTGTGAAATTTTTATGAAAAAAATTAAAACTTTGTTGAATGACCTAAAAAAYTGCTTAATGGAAAGAATATCCTGCTTATAAATAGAAAGACAAAATGTAATAAAGATAAAAATTCTTCCCAATTTGGTCTGAGTCAGTATGATCCCAATCAAAACCCCAATGGAGATTTTCCCAGATTTTCAGGCTCAATCTATAATAAAGATAAAATGTAAAAATTCAAGAATAGGCAAGAGGAGCTGGGGTCGCAGCTCAGTGGTAGAGCACTTGCCTAGCCTGTGTGAGTCACTGGGTTTAATCCTCAGCACCACAAATAAATAAAGAAACAAAGGTATTGTGTCCATCTACATCCAAAAAAACTTAAAAAAAAGTTGAAAGTGGATCAAATACTTAAATATGAAAGATAAAACTTAGAACCATTGAGAATAAAATATTTTTAATTGTGTAATCAATAATTAATAATAATTAATAATTTAATAAGGGTAGGAAAGGATTAAAATTATATTTTTAGATATAATATCCCAAAATACTAATAATTAAAGAAAAGTTGGCTTTGACTGCATTAAAAATAAGAACTTATTAAAATACATGATAAAGACAGTGAAATAGCCAAAATTAGGAAAACATACTTGCCTTGTATATAACTAAAATGAGTTAACACTAATAACTCATAATCTACAAATCAATTATAAGAATAAAAATATGCAAAAGATATGAAAAGATATTTCACTGAAGATGAAGAGAAAGATGATCACATCACAGGATGATTTCCTTATTAGCAATTAACAGAGGTACCATTTTATATGTTTGCCTACAATTAATAAGTCTGACACTTTTACATTTGTCCAGAATATGGACTACTGGGAACTCATGTATTTCTARTAGAAATCTAAATTGAAACAACTATTTTTGAAAACAATYATCACACTTTTTAAAGCTGACTTTGTGAATTCCCTATAATAATTCCACTTTCCTGTATTCTTGCATATGTGTACCAAGACACTGTTCAAGAAAATTCAGCAGCACTAGTCATAATAGCATCTATCTAGAAGCAACCCAAATAATATGTAAATACATAAATTGAGCTACATCCTCATAAAATAAYATATACCTGTAAATATGATAGACATGGTTTTGTTAAACATATCTCTTAGATATGGTTTTGTTTTCCACAGCTTCAATTACACATGCTTAAGCATAGTCTGAAAATATTAAATGGAAAAATTCTAGTAATAAGTGATTCATAAATTTTAAATTGCATGCCAGTCTGAGTAGYATGATAAAATCTTGCCCCATTCTGCTCACGTCACAAATTACTCCTTTGCMGAGCATATCCACACTATATATATTATCTCCCTGTCACTTACTATGGTGCCAAGTCAGGTATCAAGTCAACTGTCAAAGTACTGCAAAGCTTTTGTTCAAATGAACTTTATGAGGTAGCCTAGTGCTACATCAACAACGTCTACTTCATTTTATCCCCTTGATATTACATCATCTGACATCACAAGAAGGAGTGTAAATACAGAATAATAGGATATTTGTGCAGAGAGAAAGGATAGTCACATAACCTTTATTACAATATATTGTTATCATTGTTCTATTTATTATTATTTATTGTTACTTTCTCTTCCAAATATTGTCATAAATAGGTATATATAGGAAAAAAAAACAGTACAGTCAGACCTCCACATCCACAGGTTCTGCATCCTCCATGCATATTGATAGACGACTATGAAGGGTTCAGTACTATCCTTGGTTTCAGACATCCACTGGGGGTCTATTCTAAGACCCCTCGTGGATAAGATAGGGTTACCATAAAATGAATTAAAGCTAAATGCAAGAATACAGATAAATCATACAAACATAATGTTGGTAAAGAAAAGTTGCCAAAGACTGCTTACAAAATGATACAATGTCTACAAAGCTCAAAAGTAAGCAAATAAAATATATCTTGTTTAGCAAAGAAGTTATGTGAGGTATGGCTATTTTTATAAAACAAAGAAATAATCAGTCAATTATCTAGTATATAGGCCACATCTGACCAGGAAGGAGGATGATGCAATGGGAGAGTACTAGAATTTAAGGGTGCTAATAATATCCTTGGTTTTATGTCCTATAATAAGATTTAAATGTGTTCATTATTATGCATAATGACTTACATATGCATAAATATACATACATATGAATTGAATATACTTTTCATATGTTATTAAAAAAATAGTACTATTATAAAAATAAACCACTATTTAGATAAAAGTTACCTGATTATTCTAGGTTCCCAAAGAAATCATGATCTTTCACTGTTTTATGAATGCATCACATGAGCACAATTACTAAAGTAAAGAAAGCACACCAAACAAAACCTCCGAATAAAGCATGAAAAATAAACAATAGGTAAGTGATAGTAAATAACAGAAGGAGCAGATCCAAATTAAACTCACCACCAGGGCTTTAGATCTGTTGCTTAGAAGTTTCTCAATATCCCTGGCTGCAATTTCCACCARCTGGCGTGCATTATTTGGTTCCACAGTATACAAATCCTGGTATTTCTCATAAATCTGAGTGAAAGGAAAAGGAAGTTAATAAGAATAATAATTGCCTCTTGAGCTCATAAATTCCCATTAGAAGGTATTTAAAACTATAAACAAATGATTAAAAAGATCTACCCTTCTCTTTCTTCATTTGGATGATTTTGAAGTTTCGGTAAAAGAGGAAAACATAAATATAAATTTGCTATCAGACTACCAGCTTGCTAAAATAGTAGTTTATGTCATAGGTTGTAAAACAGCTTGTACCAAAATAGTTTGTATTTGCAATTTTGAGGTTTGAAGCTGTACCTGCCCACCCCCGCATCACAACCTGGTATTAACTGYCAATCACCTTTTACAAAAAAGGGTGGTCATGGTAGAAAATAGAGGGAGAGATGCAGCATGCAGGTCGAACCTGGAAGGAGTGTGTGGTAAACAAAGGTAGGAAAAAGGGTTATATCATAGAGAAGGTCCCTCCCTATAATGGAGCTAAACCATGCTGCTAAACCTTATGRAGATTCAGCCAGGTAACACAAGGAATTTCAGGGACAATTTACATGTAGACAAGTTGAAGGTTATTAAAATCTACAGTAAATGTTTGGTTAAAACTGTAATAATATCTTCAATTTTTATCAAATTAAATGTTTTCATGTGTTTTTTGAAATCACTAAATCAAACTATACCAAAATTAAGCTAAGTGACAGAGAAAAACTCAACTTTATTTCTGGTTCATCTCTAGGATTTCCCTAGAGTGACATAAGCTGCGCCTGGTTTACACAGCCTGTACACTCCCAGCAGGAGAGGAAGAATTAAAGCTGGGAAGGAGGCAGGGAGCAGTGGCAGTGTTTGTGGCTTGARTGTTGAGCTGAGAAGGAAATCCCTTATGCATGGAACAGATGGGGTGCACATGCATGACTAAACCATCTTTGAAAGCCAGGACCTGGCAGGTTTTTACTGTCTTATGAGAAGTGAATCCAGGCACACACCAAAGCCAGTTCAACCCTGCTTATTTCTGGCTCAGCTCCAGCAAATCTGCTTTACTACCAACAAGTTCTACAGCCCGGTCCCAGTGGAGCATGACTCTGCTGGTGAACACTGGCTTCAGTCATACACAAATGCCTATACTAACATTCATCCATCACATAGTACATTAGTTTTCCATGGACTTAAAACTTTTTTAAGGGAGTTATAGTTAATTGGCATTTAAAAAGTTCTCAATCACATTTTACTCCTAAAATTGATTGATTAATTTAAACTCTGAGATTTTCCCCATAGTCATTTGAACACCGGCCTTATTCATTTGAATTATCCAAGGCACATCAATTTAGTGACATAAAGATCCTATATTTGGTTTCCAGTGCATATCAATGGATTGCTTATGCTTTCACCAGGTGGATATGGGGGTCCTCTTCTCCATACCAAGCTTACCCATGAAGAAATCCCTCCAAGGAGAAGCTCTTTTTTCAGCCTCAGATGAGATTCAGGAATGAGAATTCTTGAATTGATTAAATGATTTGGGTTACAAGTAGATAAACCTCAACATCACTTGAATTTGATTCAGGATATTTAGTTCTTTGCAGTAAAACCAATAGAACTAATTGATGGGAAATGTACTGTGCTTTGTACCATTAATACCTTGTTCATTTCTCTACACGGTCTAACCTCCTTCCTGTGGTACAGAGAGAACAATGTGCTTCATAGCTGGTAAAGATTATTTCAGATGTACAATACATACTTCACGTTATAGACTACAGATAATGTCAGTTATTAAGTCACTCCAGGTGCCCAACACATTACTAAGTGGTTTAAAAATGAATGGAGTGTAAATCAATTTATCTCAAGTATATACATATCATCTAGAATATATACAAAATGTTCCCTCAAATTATATTTCCATTATAATTTTAAAATAATTAACAAATACTGAGGTGTGGTTTTGAATGTCCCCCAAATATGCTAAAATCTAGGTCCCCAAGGTGGTGAAAGCTTTGGGAAATGGAGCCTAGTGGAAGGTACTCAGGTCATTGGAAATGTGCCCTAAAAGGGTATTGTGGGACCATGATGCCCTGCCTCTTTTTTTCTTTTGCTTCCTGGTAATTAGTTTAGCAGTTTTGCTCTACCACACACTACCATCTTGATGTGCTGCCTGACCATAGGCCCAAGCTATGGGGCCAATTGATCATAGACTGGAACCTCCAAATCCGTAAGTTAAAATATAAACCTTTTCTCTTTATAAGTTAATCATCACAACTATTTCACTATAATGATAGAGAACTGACTAATAAAAAGAGAGAAATATAAACTCTGTCTCACAAATAAGTCCTAAACAGATGAAGTCAAGAAAGTCTAGAACCCAAGAATAAATATCTGGCTTTATATCTTTCATATATAAAACTGCAATTGGAATGTTTTCTTTGATAAGAAAAATGAGTTAAAACTATGTACCCACCTCACCAAAAGAACTAGCTCTCACTTTTTCGCTTTAAAAAACACAATATTCTTTGTTGTTGTATGAACACTTATGAAGTCTCTCGAAAAGTTTTCAGATAAATACTTAGTAAACAATTTTCAAAGTAGAAATTTTCACATAGATTTTTAATATGATGATACATTTCAAAACATAAATATACTTCTATTTTCATCACTGAAATAAGCCACAATTCCACAATATTTAATATATTAGAATATTAATATTAAAAAGCACAGTCTAAAGTATCTCTCTTTGTGTGATTACCTGCTTTGTATTTTTACCCAATTATTTCGTGAAGGAAAAATAGCATGTTAGAAATAATATGAGTTTTTAGCACCAGACAGCACACCATTCAAATCATGTCAGCTTCTCACATGCTACATGATATTGGCCTTTCTACTAAAAAGAATGTGGCATAAAGACAAAATTCAGGATGGGATATTTTCCCTACTGAGTGATACACTAATGTGCTTTAGTTTTTCTCCAATGTGAGTCCTATTATTATTCTATACACAGTCTTCACAAAAAAAGAATGCTTGTCACCTGTACATTCTCTCAGAATCTTAACTGACTTTAATGATCTTTCACTGCTACATTCAAAGACTAAGTTTCACTGCAAACAGAACACATTATAGTTCTTGCCTTTTTCACAGGTAACTTCTTTCAAATCACTTTCCTCTAAATTAAGTCCATAGTTCCCAGATAATCTTCAAAATAATACACTTAAAAATAACCTCAAATGTACTAACTACAAAGTGACACCAGTCATTGATATAATTGCTTAACAAAATTCATAAAGAATCATTATACAAACTATAAAACTTTCCCAAAGATACTAACTGAAAACCTAAATATGTCTCCAAGTTTTAGATCGCCCCCTAGATTATTATTAGCAACTAATTTTAGGCATCCAGTTTATACCATTTCTAGGTGTTTTATTCTATTATTCCCTTTCAGAATGCTGAAAATAATTTAAAAATTAAAAGAATTAGCTAACTAACAAATTAGGTTAGTTATGGTTTTGGAATATCAGACGGGGGGAGTTTGAGTCCCTAAGAGAGCAAAACCACTGCCCAGAGCAGCAGAAGATGAAAGGTAACCTGGTATGAATTAGAAGTGAGTCTGAAAAGCCACTCTACACTTTGGASCTCCATTGACTCATCAGATGTAATTTCAGAGGAAAACCCCTTAACATAAGTGAGAAAATCCCTGAGAGTTAAGAGTGAACACCTTCGTAAAGATAGTCTCAGTGCAGGATCAAGGGAACTCCAATGCAGAGGTTGATGGGAAGAAAAGGTCCAGCTAAAGGATGATGGTGAACCACCTAGAACAAAGGGACTCTATGTAGCTGGAGGAGAGGGGCCAAGTCTTTGGTGCCACGAGTTTTCAGTATCTATGTCAAGAGAACAAAAGAAAGCAAATATCCCAGAGCTTACATCCCCTCACATCTAGACCTCAAGGAGCAAAGTCAAGAACATTAGAGAATATTGCAAAGTGGTTGGAACTTGGAATTTATTAAATTACCATAAAAGGTTGTTTTGGACTGGAAAAGATCAACCATCAAGTGGTAAGATTAATCACCCCTCTCACCTTTTTGTGAGAGATAATGGCAACTTATAAGCAAGTGAAGTTCCCTAAAGAGATACACTCTAGTTTCTACATATTGTAACTTAGGCATATAAACTTTGACAACCCTAAATCAATATGTGTGTGTTTCTTTCCCTTTCATGGAACCTGTCCTGGACAGGCAATCAGGATTTCTTTCATGCCCAGCCATCTTACTTTGGAAAGTTTCCCCTCAGGGTGTTCCCAGTAAAAAAGGAGGCCAAGAACTTCCTTACACATACTTCATGATATTCTGATGTGTAGCTTTGCCCGTTGGTCCCTAACTAATTGCCAGAACTTATAACAGACCTAGGAGATGCTGACTACTAAGTCAATATTGCTTATGAGAAGCTAAGGAAAAAAGATCTGTGTAAACAATAATATCACACTGAGCCAAACAGATTTCTCACCATAGGACAGCAGTTGTACAGAATAGTGTAAATCCAGGGCATTAACAGCAATGAAAAGATTATCTGGAGGAAAAGAGTATTCAGATATATTGAGCAACAGAAATTATGGCTGTGGTCAGCAGAACAATAGCCTCCCAGAGATCYTAATCCTCAGAACCCGAGTGAATATGTTGTTATATCACAAAAGAGAACTCAGTTTGCTGATGGATTAAGTTTGCTAATCAGATGAATCCGAAAGATCCTTAAAAGTGGAAGAGGAAGGTGTGACTAAGGAAGGAAACCAGACATGGAGGAAAGAGAAGAAATCTCCCTAACACTGCTGGCTTTGAAGATGGAAGAGTAATAAACCAAGGGAAAGACATGTGAAAATTGTAAAATAATGGATCTGCTTGTTTAAGCCAAGAAATTTATGGTAATTTGTCACAGTAGCAATAGAATTCTAACACAATGAATTAGTCATAGCCAGAAGCTCCCTGCTCAGAGTCCACAATAAAAATCCGCCTCTGGGGCTGCCTTGCTCTGGACATCCTTCCACTAACCAAACT